AGCTCGGTACTGCGCTCGGAGCAACACCGATAGCTGCCGGAAAGCAGCCCGGGCGCCGCGAACCGGCTCAGGTTGGTGAGCAGGCTGCACCCGCCGGGCACCGCTTGGTAGCATGCTGACGACGTTCTCAGCGCCCGGCCACCCGGAGCGCGTCGGTGGGCCCGGGGGCACCGGCGTCCCGACGTTATCAGCGCCCGGCCACCCGGAGCGCGTCGGTGGGCCCGGGGGCACCGGCGTCCCGACGGTCCGGCGGCACCGCAACGCCATTACGGAGCCTGCCCTGCGGTCAGGTTCCGCGGTGACATGAGGTGATGCTGCTTGCCTGTCATCCGCGCAACCACTTACTGGTGGAGCTGTCTGACTTACAGTTGTCTTTAATAGGTCGCTCAGAGCAAGTGGTGGAATGTTCTCCATTGGTGCATTCCGTGGACCCGGTTGGCTATCCGGCTCTAGCCCTAGGGAGGTGGCTGGCTGTCCTCCAAATGATCGTTCGGTGAGTCTGCCTGGATGCCCAGTATCTCCTTTACACCATTAGTTTGTGCTCTTTAAGTCGAGACTGTTGTTTGCTCATTTGACTCCCACTCTGTCTAACCATTCTCGAGATCAGAAGATGCGTTTTCATCAGCTGATTTGCCCCTATGACCTGATTTACACCGCAGCGCCGGCATATTTCCTGTTTGAAGGAACGAGAAGACTGGAGAGGTGTCACCTCAAGTGGGAGTTGGTTCGATCTTCTTGTAGTTGGTGGGATGTAGGATTTTAGGTATGTTGAGGTTCTGTTCGGTGATAATGGCAGTGTCATCGCATTGTGTAGTGGGCGTCCTGTTGCAAGTGCTCGTGTGTCAAGTAAAAGTGCAGTGACGTAGTTGGTAGTTGATGTTGGCTGTGTATGAGGGTGTGGAACAGCGTCAGTTTGTGCATGTTTCTTCGTGATTTGAGAGTGTTTCGTCCCAACTCATCAAACAGTGCGCGAGTGTGTATTTTGTAGAGTGCACTGGTGAGAAGTCTTGCTGCTCTGTGCTGTAATCTGACAAGTCTACGGGAGTCGCTGGTCGTCAAAAGTCCGTCGTATACTACATCACAATAATCAAACAAAGGCAGAATGTAAGTCGAACATATGTCGTTGAGAATATGCCGAGACAGAAGTCGTGATAGTGGGTAGAGAGGTCAGGGCGCTCTTCCGATTTTAGAGATGGTGTCATTAACGTGCTGATGAAAGTGCAAGTCAGTAGATAACGTCAGGCCAAGGTATTTGTAGCTTGCAACGGAAGGGACTCGTTGGCCGTCAAAGGCCAGCTGAGGTGGGTTATGTGTATTTCTGTTGGCAAATGTTTGTTGAATTGTTTTCGTGGCGTGAAACGTGATGAGCCAGTCTTTGCCGAACTCTTGTATGCTATGAAGATCATGTTGGAGTGCCGCTTGTACGGTAACTGGGTCGTGTGAGTGAGCTGTGTATAGCGTGGTATCGTCAGCAAAGAACAATATGCCGTAAGTTTTGTCGGGATAGGTCGTTAAGATATATGAGCACAAGGAGAGGCCCCAGAACTGACCACTTAGGGCAACCGGAATGTATGGTCCTAGGGGTGCTTAAACTTGCTTTTTTGTTGTTGCCTGTTACCTTTTTAAAATTTGACCGCCTTGAGATCTCAGCAACTAAGAGGGCTGGAGGCACGAAATTCACAGGGTGTATTGGCCTGTATGTGAACTCACTTGGGTTAAAGTTTAAGCCTCCTAGATTATGAATTTCGAGTCAAATAAAGTCACACAAGGTCAAACCCAAGTTGGTCTTCAAAGAGTTCCCAGAACCTAGATGCTTGTTCTAAGCAAAAGGTCACATGCTCATTCAAGGTCATTGACCGTATTTGACCTTTTGAAGGCGATGGTGACCAAAATCATAGAATATTGCATTGTGTTTTACATTTGAATGCACGACAAGGGTTAACACGTGCCCGGATGGCCGGCAAGATACCCTTCGCTCGAGTTGGGGTCAATTAGACTCCCCTGAGATCTCGGGAACTAAGAAAGCTATAAACACCAATTTTACAGGGTGTCTTAACATGCACGTGAACTCACTTGGGTGAAAGTTTGAGCTTCCTATGTTATGACCTTCAGATCAAATAAGGTAAAACAAGGTCAAACTCCAGGTTGGTCTTTAAAGTGCCCCCAAAACCTAGGCAACTGTTTCTAAGAAAAAGCTTACAAGCCCATTTGAGGTCAGTGACCTTTTTTGACCCTTTCAAGGTGATGGTGACCAAAATCATAAAAGTCTGCTCTGAGTTTTGCATTTGAATAAGTGACAAAGATTACACTAGGCAGTATATTCCTAAAACAAAATGTCGACCCGGGTCATCTCGGGTCAATGACCTGTTCTGATCTCCAAGAAGTCAATGGAAGATATAAAGTGCGGTTCTTGCTGTCAGTAAATTAGAAATGAGCACCACAAACTATCCCATACAGCAAGCCCTGGAGTAATAAATCAGGTTGGTTTTGACCTTAGCCTGACCTTTATACCCGACTTTTGGTCAGCGTAATTTGCTCATTCAATATTTGTGGTGCCTAAGAAAGCATCTCAGACATGTATGGCTTCGTCAAACACTCCGCTTTTGTATCAGATTTGACGATTACCGAGAAATTGACTTCGCTGAAACCATGGCCTGACTTTCACCTGCCATAGGTCAGCGGGCTTACAAAGTACGTCTAATTTCTTATGTCAAACGATCCGCTATTCAACTGTCTACAGCTATGCAAAATTTGGCTACGCCACGTCGTTCGGAAACCATTCCGGAAAACTCTCGCAAGGGTCAATTTGACCCCCACCCGGGCGCACGCCAAGCCCGCAGGCCCACAATGTGCGAGCTAAAATAACCCAAAGTGGCACATCTAGCCCGCAACAGCTGGATACAGTCGTTGACAGGTTCTGACGTTGCCATGACGATGGCGGTCGCGATAACTGAAGTTATCGCGGACTCGGGATACACTCTGGGGTTACCGAGAAAGGAAGAAGTGTAGTGTTGTTGACACACGATTTGAACTCGAGAACATTAAATATATATTACTTTATTGCACTTTGACGGTGTTGCGGTGGCACTACCCAATGCTCTTCTTAGACGCAACTGGTCCTGAGATTTCACCAGGGTACGTTTTTAACATATGCCTCTAAGATGGAATACATCCTTAAGGCAGCGTGTTTGGCCAATATAGTGACAGAGTGGTGCTACACTGAAAGCCGTCAGCATCCTTCGCATGGTGTAGTGCAAGTGTAGCGCTGGATAGCGATAGTTACAGAAATACTAATTTTACGGGCTGACGCTCCGTGGCTTTGTACAGCACCGTCACACACGATCACGCTGGTATGATCAAACATAATATTCCGCTTTGCTTTCATACGCCCGCTGGTATGTATCACCCTTTACGGCTAACGCAAGCAGATTGTCCAGCTAACCGATCACAGCGGCTGCGACGCACGGCTGAGCCACACGAGGCGATACATTACATTAGTTAGTGAGCATATATATGTTCGGATACCGTATGCCTGGCGAAAGACGAAAGTATGCCCCAGTTCAAAATATAGTCTAGCACTGAGCCACACAGCGCCGGCACATTTTGGATTGAACTTGGATTTAGGTCAAACTCGGTAGATACGCTAAACCAGGCCTGATCAGGCGGCATGTTGACCCCTGACCTCGCAGAGGTCAAGCAAGCTCAGTGACCTCGCATGGCTTTATGAAGCACAGTGTGACGACAGCTTGGATCTGGCGGTGCAAATGCGCCAAAAATAATGAACTGTAGCGAGCTAGCGTCGGACACGACGAGATAGCCTCGGATGATGTTGAGCCACCTGAGTGCAGCTAACAACAGGGATAAGGTCCGACATATCACAGCACATAAGCGGAAAACCATTAGTTGCAGGGGTAAAAAGAGTTCCCGACATCACAGTAATTCAAGCGAGTCAAGTCCGAAGGGTGCGGAGTCAAGTGCGGTCGGTGATTTTGGACAAACTTTTGATCAAAAGTCGTAGTTTGCTCAGCCTGGCGCAGAATCTGATTTCAACCATCATTTCTGGCTCAACTGAACCGAATTACAGGAGCTTTGCACAAAGGATTCACTAAAACAAATCTCTGGTATTCGCCATATAAACATTATCACTTTGACCCACTCTGGGGAGCTGAAAGGTGATCTGATCCTTTTTGATCAGTCATTGATGCGCAAGACAAAAAGTAAGGGTATGACATCATGTATTGTGGCGTTGCTATGCATCAATTCAGTGCAGTTGCCAGGAAATATCGATGTTTTATCATTTGATCGGTCTGTAGGTCATTTCCTTCACCTGGAAAGTGATCCATTCATCGAAAACCAAAAATCGGATACCGATGAAGATTTAAGACGACATGCAACACGGTGGCCTACACCGAATTATGATACTGTCCTTATTTCATTTTCTTAACGGCAGGGAGGCAACGGCACGCTCCATTCTCGAACAGGGAGGCAGTCCGGCAGGCTCTAGGCTATGCACTTTTTTGTGGAATGGTATGCTGGCACAAATTTTATTTTGGTTGTGTTTTTTGCGCTGAGCTGGTGGTGAATACTTTTAAATTTCAAGCCGTGTTCACCATAGGAAATGCAAATGCCAGTAATAAAACGAAGACGATGTCTTCGATTCTCTGTAACGTTCAAAGGATTCGTACATTAATAGCATAATTTCGGCTCGAACAGGAGTAAGCACCAGTTTTCCAAGAATACAGCTTATATCTAGTGCACATCCCAGTAACTTGCTGCTCTTTCACGAAGCATGCAATGTGCATTTTTTTTATCTTAAAGTTAAAATACCATAACAGAAGACTGCATGCTTGTACATAAAGAGGTAGACAATCGTCCACCAGCCGGCGAACCCGAGATGTTCTGATGGCCGACCAGGGCGGTGTCAATGCCACTGGGTCAGTGCCGGGAGGGCCACCTATAAAAGCTGCACCGGCCGGCACGCTGGCATCAGTTCACCTCCCAACTACCACAAACCCAACATGTGTTCCAAGGTAAGGGAATTGAGCGCATAACATAACAACTATTGTTATTCAGTTTCAGTCGCCATGTTTATCTCACAGGCACACACAAACAGGCAACTCTGGATCCTCCACAATACTGAAAGCCACGTATCCCAAATTTGTTCCGGTAGGTACCACACGTTTCAGGATAAGCAGCATCCATTATGTTGATCGAGGCATATATATATATATATATATATATATATATATATATATATATATATATATCCCGGTAAGCGATGAAAAAGCGGGAAGCAGATATGCGCAGCGTCAAAATTATTAAGCAAACATCATTAAGTTAGAGTTAAGCTTAAAATTAAGCGATCCAATCCTTGGTGTTCAAACACTGACAGCAAGATACAACAGATTAACGGCCGCTTGCCGCCATCAGCTAGAAAATCAAAACTACGCAATTGCCATCACCGAAAAAGATTCGATTCCGCTATCAACACCTAAGTCTTAAGCATATACTTTCTTATTACATACTAAAGCCGTGTTACCACATTTCATCGCGCTAACATCCAGGCATACTTGTTTTCGCTCAACCCGTGATCAGTGCTTATGCATAATCTATTCATATATCCTAGCATGTCTTACGGCGCTGGCAGGTTCCCGTGGCATTCCTGCTGCTGGGTGTGGCCGTGGTCTTCTCGGCCCCGCCTCCTCCGTACCACGCTACCGAGGCACCGGTCCAGTATGAGTACCAGTACGCCGTCTCGGACGAATACGCTGGGCTCGATTACGGCCAGACGGAGAGCCGAAACGGCTACGAGACGACCGGCTCGTACCACGTGCTGCTACCCGACGGCCGCGTGCAGCGGGTACAGTACAGCGTGGTCGGCGATCAGGGGTACGACGCCGATGTCACCTACGAGGGTGAAGCCAAGGAGTACCAGCCCGCTCCCAAGTACGAGAAGCCGGCGCCCTCTTACCACCACGCGCCCGTGTACCACCCCAGGCCGTCGTACCACGCCGCTCCCGTGTACCACCAAGTGCCTGCGTACGGTGCTCGGCATTATGGCGGCGCCCGGGCCCGCACGTACAACCTGCAGAAGGCGACCGAAGCGCCCCTGGCGGAAGCCGAGGAAGCTGCAGTTGAGGAGCCGGCCGCCGTTGAGGAGGCGGAGGAGGTAGCGGAGGAGGTGGAGGAGGAGGTCGCTGAGGTCGAGGAGGCCGAACCAGAGGTGGAATCTGTCGCCGAGGGTGGCGAGAAGGCTTATCAACAGGACGCCAAATAGAGCATCCCATAGTGGAGTGTTCGTCCGAGACGGCGTCATGTCAACTGTTTTTATTTTGTGCGAAATATAAAAAATGGAATATGATATTGACTGTCCAATGCATAAGAACTTTGCTTCCAAATGACACAATTAAGTAGTTGCATATGCTCAGGTAAGTACTCTCAGGCCCGATTACGTGAGCAAGGTGACGAGTGGCGTTTATTTTTTAACAAAATTTGTACACAATTGTTGAGATTATCTATATTTTAAGCACGAATGGGAGTCTACCAAGGCGGGAGGTAGATGTTATGTACGGTCAGTGATCATGTAGCTGCGGTAACAAAAAGCAATCTACAGAACCGCACAACATTGGTGAAGGTACTTTGGTAACATGGTTTGAAGAAAGAGATTTGATACATTCTACGTTCAATGTGGTGAAGGTACTCTGGTAGCATGGTTTCATGGAAGAGATTTAATACGTCCTATGCTCAATTTGTCTGGCTTAAATGGTCCTAATTCAGTAAAGGTCTCTGACGTTTCACGTCAGGTGTGCACGACTACAGTGCTATCTTCATGACAAGCTTCTTGAGTGAGAAACGGAGCCGCCTGCAAGTTACGCTTCATAAATGTTATGGCCGCTTATACACTCTTCCGAGGCATCAGACACCACGTTAATGGCTTTCATATTGCATTAGCGCGGCAAACATCAAAGGCAAATCGCGAAAAAGCTTACAAAACCTCAACAAATCGACGTCGCAGCGAAATTGGGTAAACACGTTCTTACGAAGGAGAGAACATACAGTCGCGATGACAAAACCTGTGTGTATAGGCGCTCATCTTCGCGCCAAACGCAGCCATAGACCCAATTGCTCTAAGCCTATGATAAAAAAATAATGAACCCATCTACAACTCACCTTGCGTTCTCATTAAACATCAACGATGTACATTTGATTAGTGCGCTGAATCAGCCTAGAAGCGACCAAACATCTGTTCGGGCACGCTATAGTCAAACCTGAGAGACACCAATCTAACACAACCCAGCTTACTGCGACCAATGCATATGCAAATCATCTGCACTTTTCCCAGCAGTTTGGTCGCCGCAGATGGTTCTACGTCATATCAGAACAAGTTCTTGGATTAGCATAGAATCAAAGATGCAGTCATTCCTGATCAATTTCTAAGAAATGAGGTCTATGAATAAACACAAAATAAACAAGAACAGGCCTCAAAGTACACCTACCTAATCAGAGTAATTTTGTTGCCATTATAAATAAGTCGGCTTTATTGGCTTAGGGCTTGGTATGAGCTGTACGATAATAGTCACGAAATTTACCTCCGACGAAGGCTCGCCTGGGTAATGGCGTGCAAGGATTTTTCCTGGCCGTATTGGTATAACTCATGCGTTTTGGTTCATATACCGAACAAGCCTCTGTAATTAAAACATTGCATTACTAATATAATTATACAAATAACCCATAACAAATCCAGAGTACATGACTATGTTAAGGCCCCATTGATTCCATTTTGTGGAAATGCGGTATGCCAAACCATAATTACGTTTCGGCAACCAGCATTCCATGCTTCAGTTAATTTGGATGCCATTGCAAGACCGCAAGGCTAAGACTTGCCAGGTTGACTTAGCCAAGCGAATTGGAAGCGTAAATAGTTTGACCTGACCAAAAAATAATACATTTTATCTTTGCCTGTCATTATTATGCACACAACTTTGAAACCAGCTTTCAGGAATGAGCTCCAGTTAAATCAGTAGTGAATGGAGAACTGGCAAAACAAATATTTCAGGTTAAACTACAACCACGACCGCAAACAGAAATGTGCATCTCGTATTATGTCTTTGAACCGCCTCGATGTGCAGTTCTTTCGATGAACCAGCGGTGAAAGAAAACAGTCGATGCCAAACTGAAACACTACACAACGACCTTTCAGGTAACAGGGCTTAAAATCGGGTTTCATAGCAGGACCGGACTTTTCTTCAGTGACCTTAGATGTGCTTGCCTCATGGCAGGACCGGAATTTTTATTCAATAGCTTTAGGAGTTGCTTGCTTAAGATTAGGGTGCTTAATCCTTAAACATATACATATGCATATATATATATATATATATATATATATATATATATATTATATATATACATGCACATCTATATATGTGTGTGTATGTTATCCTGAAATGTAGAGTTAACCTCATCACGCCAGGCTCAAGGAGAGAAATGAGGGCAGTATTCGTAGCCTCATCCGCAGCGAAACGAGATGTTCTGATGGCCGACCAGGGCGGTGTCAATGCCACTGGGTCAGTGCCGAGAGGGCCACCTATAAAAGCTGCACCGGCCGGCACTCTGGCATCAGTTCAGCTCCAGAGTACCACAAAGCCAACATGTGTTCCAAGGTGAGTGAAATGCACATATAAAACAACTGCGTTTGAAATTCAGTGTCAGACATCTCGTCTGGTTTGGGATATTGACTTTCACTCACGGAAGTTGCGCGACAAAGTATTCCCATTTGTGTTATGGCATGCACATACTCCTGTAATATGCAAATCAGATATTTACCATGCTTGTGTGAATATTCTATACACTTAAGTACATTTGTTTCAACTTTCCGTAATCATCTGTTATGCACTATCTTCTAATGTTTCCTGGCATATCTTACCGCGCTGGCAGGTTCCCGTTGCGTTCCTGCTGCTGGGTGTGGCCGTGGTCTTCTCGGCCCCGCCTCCTCCGTACCACGCTACCGAGGCACCGGTCCAGTATGAGTACCAGTACGCCGTCTCAGACGAATACGCTGGGCTCGACTACGGCCAGACGGAGAGCCGAAACGGCTACGAGACGACCGGCTCGTACCACGTGCTGCTACCCGACGGCCGCGTGCAGCGGGTACAGTACAGCGTGGTCGGCGATCAGGGGTACGACGCCGATGTCACCTACGAGGGTGAAGCCAAAGAGTACCAGCCCGCTCCCAAGTACGCGAAGCCGGCGCCCTCTTACCACCACGCGCCCGAGTACCACCCCAGGCCGTCGTACCACGCCGCTCCCGTGTACCACCAAGCGCCCGTCTACGGTGCTCGGCATTATGGCGGCGCCCGGGCCCGCACGTACAACCTACAGAAGGCGACCGAGGCGCCCCTGGCGGAAGCCGAGGAAGCTGCAGCTGACGAGCCGGCCGCCGTTGAGGAGGCGGAGGAGGTAGCGGAGGAGGTGGAGGAGGAGGTCGCTGAGGTCGAGGAGGCCGAACCCGAGGCGGAGACCGCCGCCGAGGGTGGTGAGGAGGCTTATCAACAGAACGCCGAATAGAGCATCCCGTAGTGAAGTGTTCGTCCGAGATGGTGGCATGTCAACTGTTTTTATTTATTGAGAAATATAAGAAATGAAACATGATATCGACTGTCTAATGCATCAAAACATTTCTTCCACATGACACAATTAAGTAGTTGCGTATGCTCAGACCATTATCCTTATGAACCGATTACGTGAGCAAGGTGACGGGTGGCGTTTATTTTCTGCAAAACTTGTACATAACTGTTGGAATGATCTATATTTTAAGCACGAGTTGTAGGCTGCCGAGGCGGGAGGTAGATGTTCCCTACTGGCAGCCATTATGTAGCTGCGATAAAAAGAAACAATCTGCAGCAACACACAAAATGGCTTAAGGGACTTTGGTAACATGGTTTGAAGGAGGACATTTCATACGCTCTACGTTTAATGTGACCTTTTTCGAAGTCAAATTAGGTCAGTAACCATCGAGAGCCTGGCTGTACATAACATTGTCCTTAGATCACAATTTTGTTGCTTTCAATCTGTTTACGGACCCCATCATGCGTTCGTTTGGCGATTGAGGTGTTGATCTCATCTAACGAAAGTCGCCTTTTCTGTTCGGTGTTCCATGCTCTAAGTGTGAACTGACCTAATGGGCGAGGGCCTCATCCTTAAATTGGACCGCGTCGGTTCACTTAGACACAAAGCTGTCAAAGTCTGTGTTTGAACTGTGGTAAGCATGTCGAAGTGCATCAAGAAAAAGTGCAACAAATGTATGATTTTTTGGAACTCAGTCATACCATTTCAAGAAGCTGTATTGAATCAACCTTTGTTGCGGATCTAAATGTCCTCGGCACGGCCACACAAACTCTTAAAGCCGGATGAGCATTAACTGTTTGCATATTTTTGTGACCTCTTTCCAAAACTTGAGGACAGTACGGAAAGGCCGAGGTTGGATAATAAGTTGACGCCATCTCCCTTGACGCCGTTCGCTAGTTGACTAATGGTTTTATTCCAAAATCTCACAATCTCCAATCTAATTTTGTCTCTCGAAAGGCAGTTATGTTTCAAACATTGGGCGACGTCTCCTGTCACTTAAACGCAATATTGACAACATCAAAGGCATATACAGCCTGACAGCCTAAAAATCAGCATTAGCATTGCATTATGGTAGCAAGAGAAATCCCTGCAGCAGTGTTTTTAACCAGTGGCGCACCCGCCACGAAAAACTAAAGCTGCGGTGGGCAGTCGGTGAAATGCACCCCTGGCGCTAGCCAAACGTAGGCCATTGTTACATATCCCAGCAAGCTTGAATCAGCGTTTGCTGCAGACCTAAGCTTTTTCGGCACTAACCATTTGCATATTATCTGTGACCTCTTTCGAAATTTGAGGAGCTCACAGAAAAGCCAAGGTTGTGTAATTAGTTGACGCCGTCCCCCCCCCCTTCCCTTGCACACCGCCCATCGTTAACAACGCTTGCAATCAAACGGCTGATAACTCTGCAATATTGTTTGTAATGGATGTTCACCAGGTGACCATGTTTTATTCCAACAATCGCCCAATCTCCAATCTAATTTTGTCTCCAGAAAGGCGGCGATCCTTCAGATATTGGGCGGCTTGTCCTGTCGTTTAAACGTAATATTGGCAACATGAAAGGCATATGCAGCTTGACAGCCTAACAATCCGCATTTACTGTGGGTTATGGTAGCAAGAGAAATCGCTGCAGCAGTGCTTTTAGCCGATGGCACACCCACCACGACGAAAAACTAAAGCTGCTGTGGCAGTCGGCGCAATACACTCTTAACGCTAGTGGAACGCATATCATAGTAACATATCCCAGAAAGCTCTATTCTCTGAGAAAGGCACCAAAATCGAAAAAACTAGGAAAGATGCAAACGAAATCTTGCCATTGGTGTACTTAGTTGCGTTATCTATCAGACCAGATACTTCATCCTTCCCTGTCCGATTTCTGCTGGAAGGCCTCCTGTCAGAAAAGTGGCTTCTTGTTGCTATCGCCTACCTAGCCAGGTCTGCCCTTCATTTCTTCCGGACGCGCATATATTTGCAACCATTGACTACAACTTCATTCAGTTTTCAGCGATGTGAAACGGAGCTGCCTACAAGTTACGCTTCACAAATTTTACGGCTCCTTATGTGCTCTTCTCGGGGCAACAGACACCAGGTTCATGGCTTCCATATTGCATTAGTGAAGCAAGCATTAAAAGAGATTTGCAAAAAGCTGACATCATCAGATTGAGACTTCAACAAATCGTCGTCGCAACGAAAGTGCGTCAATATTTTCTCACGTAAAGAGAGCATCCAGTCGCAATGGCAAAATCTGACCATGTAGGCGGTCATCTTCGCGCCAAAAGCAGCCATGGACCCACCTGTTTCCAACCTTTGATCGAGAAATCATGAACCAACTGCAACTCACCATGCGCGCCCATTAAACATCAACGATGCCCAATTGATTAGTGCGCCGAGTCGACCGAGAAGCGACCAAACATCTGTTCGGGCACACTATAGTTAAACCTGAGAGACACCAATCTGACACAGCCCAGCTTATTGCCACCAATGCATATGCAAATCATTTGCACTTTCCCAGCAGTTTGGTCGCCACAGATGATTGTAATCATAGCAAAAGGATTTCTTGGATTAACATGGAATCGGAGACCAGTTATAGCTAACCAATTTCCAAAGAGTGCGATCTGTGAACAAACACAAACAAACACGAACAAGCCTCAAAAAGCATCTATCTAAATAGACCAATTGTGCTGGCCTTGTAAGTAAGTTGGCTTTATGAGCTTAGGGTTTGGTATAAGCTGCATCATAAAAGCTGCATGATAGTTACGACTCATACCTTCCTGACGGCTCGTCTGGCTAATGGCGTGTCAGGTTTTTCCTAGCCATATTGATATAATTCATGCGTTTTGGTTCATACACCAAACCAGTTTATGTTGTTTAAATATTGTAGCGCTACTATAATCATGCAATTTTCCCACTTCAAATCCAGAGTACACGACTCTGCTAAAGCCCCATTGATTTCATTTGGTGGAAATGCGGTATGCTAAATCATAAATAAGTTTCGTCAACCAGCATTGCATGCTTCAGTTAGTTTTCATGCCATTGACTACAAGGCTAAGACTTGCAAGGCTGACTTACCAAAAGGAATTAGGAGCGTACAAGTTTTGGCCAGACTAAAAAATGCTGCATTTTTTCCTTGCCTGTCAGCATTATGCGCGCAACTTTAAACCTAACTTTCAGGAATGAGCTTCAGTTAAATCAGTAATCAACAGAGAACTAGCAAAACAATTTTTTCGGATGAAACTACAACGGCAACCGCAGACGAAAACGTGTATCTCATATCATGTTTTTGCACCACCTCGATGTGCGTTTTTTTTTTCGATGAACGAACGGCGACAAAAGCCTTTGGTACTAAAATGAAAGACGACAATAAATATCGTCAGGTGACAGAGTATAAAATCGGGCACCAAAGTTGTGGAACCGGAATTTTTCTCCAATGGTTTTAGGGGTACTCCGTTTAAGATTAGGGTACTATATCCATAAAGTATATATATATATATATATATATATATATATATATATATATATATATATATATATTGTGTGTGTGTGTGTGTGTGTGTGTGGTGTGTGTGTGTGTGTGTGTGTGTGTGTGTGTGTGTGTGTTGTGTGTGTGTGTGTGTGTGTGTGGTGTGTGTGTGTGTGTGTGTGTGTGTGTGTGTGTGTGTGTGTGTGTGTGTGTGTGTGTGTATGTGTGTGTATTCTGAAATGTAGGGTTTTCCTCATCACGCCAACTCCAAGGAGAGAAATGAGGGCAATATTCTCAACCGCAGACGAAAACGTGTATCTCATATCATGTTTTGCTCCACCTCGATGTGCGATTTTTTTCGATGAAACAACGGCGAAAAAAGCCTTTGATACTAAAATGAAAAACGACAAAAAATATATTCAGGTGACAGGGTATAAAATCGGGCACCAAAATTGTGCAACCGGAATTTTGCTCCAATGGTTCTAGAGAAACTCCGTTTAAGATTAGGGTACCATATCCAAAAAGTATATATATATATATATATATATATATATATATATATATGTGTGTGTGTGTGTGTGTGTGTGTGTGTGTGGTGTGTGGTGTGTGTGTCACTGAACTGTAGGGTTTTCGTCATCACGCCAGCCCTAAGGAGAGAAATGACAGGCAATATTCGTAGCCTCATGCGCCAGCGAACCCGAGATGTTCTGTTGGCCGACCAGGGTGATGTCAATGCCACTGGGTCAGTGCCGAGAGGGCCACCTATAAACCCTGCACCGGCCGACACACTGGCATCAGTTCAGCTCCAGAGTACCACAAAGCCAACATGTGTTCCAAGGTGAGTGAAATGCACATAAACACCGCGTTTGCAATTCAGTGTCAGACATCTCGTCTGGCTTGGGATATTGACTTTCACTCACGGAAGTTGCGCGACAAAGTATTCCCATTTGTGTTATAGCATGCACATACTCCTGTAACATGCAAATCAGATATTTACCATGCTTGTGTGAATATTCTATACA